GACAAAGATTTTGAACGTGCCCAAACATCCAAAGATCAAGACAAATGGAGAGCAAAAACGGATCACTCACTCAGAGAGCTCTGGGATAATTCGAAGAAAACTAATATTCACCTTATAGGAATCCTTGAAGGTGACAAAATTGCCTCACAAAACACAGAGGCTCTTCTGCATGAAATTATGAAAGAGAACTTTCCAGACATACCAAGAGATCCTGAAATTCAGAAAGCAGAAAGCTTCAGAACCCCAGCGCAACTCAACTCGAACAAGACATCCCCCAGGCACATTATAATCAACTTCACTAAAGTTAACAAGAAAGAGAAAATTCTCAAAGCAGCTAGACACAAGAAAACCTTAACTTACAAGGGGAAGAATATTAGATTAACTGCAAATCTCTCTGCTGAAACCTTTCAGGCCAGAAGAGGGTGGTCATCGACCTTCAATCTCCTCAAAACAAATAACTTTCAACCCAGAATCCTGTATCCAGCTAAACTGAGTTACGTTTACAATAGAGAAATTAAATACTTTAACAACATTTACATGTTGAAGAAATTTGTCATGACTAAACCAGCCCTCCAGGACTTTCTCAGACCTATCCTTCATTATGATCAGGGCAATCCTTCACCACATAAATAAGCCCACCCAGAAAATTTTGATCGAATTCCAATCTCCACAGTGACAAAAGGATTAAAGATGCCCAATGGACTTTCAAAAAACTCAATACCCAAAATTATACCAGGCTTATCAATATCCTCAATCAATGCGAACGGTTTAGATTGCCCTCTACAGAGGCACAGGCTGGGTGACTGGATACAAAAACTTAGGCCAGATATCTGTTGCATACAAGAATCTCACCTTACTTTGAAAGACAAGCATAGACTCAGGGTGAAGGGATGATCATCTATATTCCAGGCAAATGGAGAGCAGAAAAAAAAGCAGATGTTGCAATTTTATTCGCAGATACAATAGGCTTTAAACCAACAAAAGTGAGCAAGGATAAGGATGGTCACTTTATATTTGCTAAGGGTAATACTCATTAGATGAGATTTCAATTATCAATATTTATGCACCCAACTAGAATGCACCTCAATTTATAAGAGACACTGCAACAGACACGAGCAACCTGATTACTCCCAGCTCCATTGTAGTTGAAGATTTTAATACTCTTTTGGCAGTGCTGGATAGATCCTCCAACAAGAAGCTTAGCAAAGAAATCTTGGATCTAAACCTAACCTTCAGCATTTGGATTTAACGGACATCTATAGAACATTACACCCTAATAAAACTGAGTACACATTTTACTCATCAGCCCACAGAACATACTCCAAAATAGACCACATTCTAGGTCACTAGTCTAACCTCAGCAAATTTAAAAGAATAAAAATTATCCCTTGCATCTTCTCAGATCACTTCTCAGAACTTAGCAACAACAGAAATCTGCAGACTCAAACAAAAATGTGGAAGCTAAATAACCTTATGCTCAATGATAGTTGGGTCAGAGATGAGATCAAGAAGGAAATTACCAAATTCTTGGAACTAAACAACAATGAAGAGATGAGTTATGAGAACCTCTGGGATACTGCAAAGGCAGTCCTAAGAGGGAACTTTATTGCACTGCAAGCCTTCCTCAAGAAAACAGAAAGAGAAGAAGTTAACAACTTAATGGGACATCTCAAGGAACTGGAAAAAGAACACTCCAATCCAAAACCTAGCAGAAGAAGAGAAATAACCAAAATTAGAGCAGAATTAAATGAAATTGAAAACAAAAGGATTATACAACAGATTAATAAATCAAACAGTTGATTTTTTGAAAAGGTCAACAAAATAGATTAGCTGTTGGCCAACCTAACCAAGAAAAAAAGAGTTAAATCTCTAATTTCATCAAGCAGAAATGGTAAAGATGAAATTACAACAGACCCCTCAGAAATTCAAGAAATCCTCCATGAATACTACAAGAAACTTTACTCTCAGAAATATGAAAATCTGAAGGAAATCGACCAATACTTGGAAGCATGCCACCTTCCAAGACTTAGTCAGAACCAAGTGGAAAGGTTGAACAGGCCTATATCAAGTTCTGAAATAGCATCAACTATACAAAATCTCCCTAAAAAGAAAAGCCCGGGACCAGATGGCTTCACATCAGAATTCGACCAAACATTTAAAGAGGAACTAATACCTATACTACTTAACCTTTTCCAAAATA